CCTATTATTTGGTATGGGAAATTTATCAAAAAACACCTCATTTTCAACTATTTAACATACCCTCCTCCCATTACCATTCCAATTCGAAATCATGTGTATTTTGATGGGAATTTTGAAATTAAATCAAAATATATGAGTAATATGTTAGGTAACACCTCAAGTGTTTTTCAACAAATTTTGTGCTAGCATTTTGAAATTAAATCAAAATATATCTTAGGTATATTTTGACAAATTTCCCATTTTTATTTTACTTTTTAATGAGATTGAAACTAGGTTTATTTGATCTTTTTAGTTTTTTAAGTTATCTTACGGTAAGTATGCCTTTTGTTGTTGTAAAGAATTGAAGGTAGACTTGGAAGTCTAATTTTAAGAGGATGAATGAGTAACCTTTTCGAAAAGAAAGAAAAACATTAAATGCCCAGGGTTTAATAGCTATTAGGGTTTATTATGGACAAAGGTTAGATTTTTAGGGTTTTCTCAATAAATATGTTAAAGGTTTGACAAGGAAAATAACAATGAATATTGGGTTATTCTCTGAACTTTTGTAGAGACTAGTTATTGGGGACCATGTAGGCTCTGAGAGTGAGCATAATCTCTCAATCTTTTCTTTTTATTTTTCTATTTGTTTGCTTTCTTCCTACACAATACATCACACAATTTCCAGTCTAAAATTTCCAAATTGCTGGTGGTTCTTGAACCATAAATTCAGCCAAGTAAAAGAGTCCCCCTCCTCCAATTGCTGGCACAAATACAATAGCATTTGTCCAATACATGTAGAAGAACTGTGTACGTAGCAAGTTGAGCTATTAAAGTTGAATATTTGATGGCCACAGTTTTCTGGGTACCCATTCTAGTAGACAGCATATACACTATGTTTCAACACATACAGCTGCTAAGGATATAATAGGTTAACACGGATCCCAGTTTTACACAGATCCAATGGATTTTTTTATTTCAGATTTTGAAACTACCATATATATGCTGAAATATCTCTTCCACAGGCTTTCAATAGCATTTGGTTTGCTGGTCCATATGTAGAACCCGACAACTTCGGATCCAACTCATCCTTCGTCAAAGTAGGCAATTCCAATAAACCTCACTACATGTTTCTCAATACATGCCAACTAAAGCTACCCCAAACAAGAATGTTGGCAGCTATCCCAAAATTCTTTGCACAAAATACACTTGTCAGCCATCATGAAACTTCTAGGCTAGAAATAAGTAACAGTAATTATTTTATTGTGATAGACTAACCATCAGCGAGGAAAAACTAGCCAGAAGGAAAAACAAGACAGGTGCTGCTTTCCTCTAGACCCAATCAGTCAGGTAATCACCCTCAAAAAGTGACAAAATCTTATACATTGATTCTTCCATAGAAGAATACAAAGATCTCAAATTCCAAACCATTCCATCCTCTAATATAAATTATTCTCACTAATCCCACCAAGCACAAATGCTCAAACCCAAGTAGATTAAACATGTGTCTGTTTCATGCCAAAAACCACATCGTAGATTGCCCATTCACCATGCTACATGATAGAGACTTCTCTATAAAAAGGAACCCTGTGGTAGAGGCATATGCTCGAACCCAGCCATTTTCAATACCTAAATCATAACTGCCAATGCATGTCGTCACATTTCTTCTCCAGATCAATTGAATATGTGTCCCCCAAAACTGACACCACAACCTTGAATATAAGTTTCATAAGCCAATCAAGCCCTTTAGATATGCTACCTTCACTTGCCCTGCAGTTCCAACAGCCACCATTTTCATCCATCTTATATTATATCTTCTCCATCATCTTCTCCACCATGGCTCACCCTTCCACTTTCCAATTTGTCCTCCATCTCAACTCCTTCAACATTATTCGTCACCCTCTGAGCTGCTACTCAGATTTTGCATCAGTGACAATAATATAGACAAGAAAATTCCAGTGCCATCAAAAAAAAAATGACGAAGAGTTGGATAAATGGGTGATAACAGTTCAAAATTTTTCATGTGCACCAACATAACATCATGTTCACTAATGACTGGTCCATGTAGCAATATTGGCTGGCATTGAAGGACCTGTCAATGTCCACAACAGCCCACAGGTGAAAACCAAATGAAGAAGAAGCAAAATGAATTACACATTCCCAAACATTCGTAAGCTGAGTGGGAGAGAAATAAAAAAGAAGGTTGAGTAGACATGGAAAACCTATCCAAACTAGCACCATGTCAATAGTCATAGGACAGCACAGTTGTACATACAAACAAAAGAAAGCAAAAAACTAGATTCCAGTGCAAACTGTTCCAACTACTTTGCAAATGTCACAAGATTCTAAGGAAGAATACTTGCACATTTAAGAGAAACTAAACAAATGATGCTGGATTGGAGAACCTCTGCAATTCACAGTACTATGTGAACCTATGCTTTGATGGACAAATTAAGAAAAATTTATATTTCTTACATGATCCAAATGTATGCCTTGTAGAATGAAACTCATAACTGGTAGCACAGGGAGACCACAACTACGCCTTGATATAAAATGTGAAAGAAGACATTCCCAGTAAAAGGAAACAAAAATATTTGCAAGATCTATGAATACTTTACAATAAAAGGAAACGCACGAGAGAAAGGGACAGAGACTATAATATGAGTAACAACAGATTATCAACATCACATAGTAATCCCAACACAATATGCATCATCGTGATCTATCCCAAGATATTCCATTGAGCTCAATGTCCTAATAGCCTCTATAAGGCATCTTAAGCCTTTCTAATACATTCAATGAAATAAATAGACAAGAAATGGACTAAACGAGCAAAATGAGACAGATAAAGTTATAACATGACTAAATGCACAAATATGCAGCCCAATAAGAACAAACCCAATAATGACATGGTCTTCGAAACTTCTTACAGTTTGTATAGCCAAAAATACGAGGAGATCATCCTGAGCCACAAATATTTTCAATTTAATTTTCCGCCAACACAGCGAGGATGTTCTCCTCGTATATAGCATTAAATTTAGGTTTGTTTTAAATTTAATGATATGCCCTTAAAGGTGGACAATGTTCATCCTGGAAAACCATAAATCATAGTGATGTTTATTGCATTGATATATAGCATGATTTTGACATGATAATGTCTCTTGAATTGATAAGCCTGATAAGATGACATAGTGATGTCTATTACATTGATGTATAGCATGTTATCGACATGATAATGTCTCTTGAGCTGATAAGCATGATAATATGACATAATGATGTCTATTGCATTGATATATAGCATGATATTCACATGATAATGTCTCTTGAATTGATAAGCATGATAATATGATATAGTGATGTCTATTACATTGATATATAACATGCTATCGACATGATATTGTCTCTTGAGCTGATAAGCATGATAATATGACATAGTGATGTTTTTTGTGATTATATGTATAGCATGCTCTGGACATGTTGGTGTTTTTATGATTATATGTATGACGTTCTTCTAATATGATTCGTGTATATGGAGACATAGTTCTGGTATATGATCCATGCATGGTGACATGTTGTTGATACGATATGTGTGCATGATGACATACTTCTGATAAGATATGTGTGGATGATGACATGCTTCTGATAAGATATGTGTGTATGGTGACATGCTTCTAATAAGATATGTGTGCATGGTGACATGCTTCTGATAACATATGTCTGCATGGTAACATGCTTCTGATAAGATATGTACGCATGGTAACATGCTTCTAATAAGATATGTGCGCATGGAGACATGCTTATGTTATGATCTGATGAGATATTTGTGTCGGCAGCTATGATCTTTCTCTGCTCTCTGATAGGATGAGAGTTAGGAGTGTGTGTGTTTGGGTAGTCGCCCCCCCAAAACTTATGTGAGGCACAACTCATTGGGACCCCTTTGGTAGTGTAACGCTCTCTCGCCAAAAGGGCACATGAGAGGATCGTGTCTTGCAAGGCCAGTGCTTATCAAAAGCTCCAAAACGCGCTAAGGACTGTGTGCGTGTGTAAGGCACTATGCAAGGGATTTACCCGTTGATGGTGCTTCTCTCGTAGTTGTGATGTTAGAGGCTCTACGCATCAAGATTTGATTGGCCTGATGGGTGGGGCTTCTACTTCAGGAGTTAGTTGGTATCTCTTAATCTTGATTATGCTTGTTACATACATGCCTAATTGTTTTGATCGGTTATAACGCTCATGCCTGAATGATTTGATCAACTTTGTATTACAATCATATCTGACTAATCTGATTAGTTATTACTCCATCATGAAACAAATCATGCGTGACACGTTTGTTTAAACATGAACTTGACACATGACTCCATGTTTTATAAGACTTGCATAAAACTCTGATGATTGTCATGATATAATATTTGTAAGCATGAAAGCATGGCACCTAGATCTTATTTACTGTACTTTTATAGCTCACTCTTTTAATTTTTCTTCCATGTAAAGTGATAACCAACGTGATTGGAGTGGCATGTCCTGGTGGTCGTGCTTGGGGTCCCTTACTCCCCTTCTATTGAAGCTCCATTTTACAAGATATGTTTTGGTTGGCAGCCTGGCCATGTAGTCCATTTTGATTTGGTAATATGTGTTGATGTTGGGCCTTTTGTGCCTTAGACCTATATGTACTATTTTCGACTGTTATATGTATTTTGGGACTTGTTTATCCAGCAAACTATGGTTATGTATATTGTGTTTCGTTTATCCTTTCTTTTGTGGCTGGCTTTGATACTGGAAATTCCTTCTTTTTCATAGTGTTGAGCGCACTCCAACCCAAGTGGCACTCGTTACCTGTGGTTGTGACCCCACGCCCTATGGTCCTTCGACGGGCCCGGGCCTAGCCCTCTGTGGGTCCGGCGGGGACAGTAGGGAGCGGGGTCGTGACACTAGTTGTTCATTAAGTTGCCCAAGAGTTCACAACAATTTTGGGTTTAAAAGGAAAAAAATCTCTAAAAGCTCATGAAAGGAGGAATTGCCTTAACTGAGCGCCAATAATTGAGGCATGACCGGTGGACAAACACTTGAGTGCCTTTACACATACGTGGCGAGATTAGTTCCTCCCCTGCACCAAAGTCTTTTCATATTTAATATATAATAGAAAGTTTAGACCACTAATAATATTTACTTTCCAAAGAGGTTATCAAAGATAAGAAGTTCAAAAACATTTTTCTTGCAAGTAGGAACCAGGCATAACCCAAGTAATTCAAAAAATAAAGAAAAAAAATGCCCAGAGCAAAGGTGCTAATGTCTTTTATAAATTGAAACCCACTATGAATCCCATCATTGGTAGAAATACCACCACAGATATATCAAAACTTCCCAAATTAGCATAGTGTCGTAATAGAAACACCAATCTGATATGCATATGAGTGGGTAACTCACATGGATAAAATAACAGAAATACCAATTCGACAATTGGACTTTTAGATACGACACCATGCATCATTTAGAGGGGGTGGCAGGTGGGATTCTAAGTGACATTAAGGTCATTTATTTAAAATTCACAACAAAAAAGTCAAGCAGAGGTGTCTAAGTTTCTCAAGTGTCAAACATGTGTATCATGTCATTGGTATTTCGACATGGGCCCATACAATTGAATACATGCGGCCAACTTACAAAGCTTAAATCTTTGTAATTGTGATTATGGGCCTATACAATTAAATACATGTGTCCAACTTACAAAGCTTAAATCTTTGCAATTGTGATAAGTAGCAAGGCAAGACAGTAAGGGAATTGGTCCACCCAAGCCTGCACCTATAAATGCATTATATGACACATACAAGCACTATATCTATAAAGCATGAAACATGATATAAAGCTATTCTCATCTTACAAAGTATTTTGTAGGAACCCCATTCTGGCTATGGTTTCTAGGCCCAAATCCTTAAACCAGGGGATCAAGCCCAAGTCACCTTGCCTAAGGTAACATGAACCTAAATCCCACCTTTGATCCCACCTAAATCGCATAACTCTACTCTAAGCCACACTAGGGACCACACTAGGCTAGATAGTCCATAGTGCACATATTTTGATGCTCCCTACAACCTTATCAACAACTTAAAAATGTCACAGATGCCCCACCATTAGGGAAACACAATAGATAATCTTAAAACCACTTAATTGACTCTAAAATTTTTTCCAAATTAGGCTAAAGTGACATGCACTCAAACCAATTATAGCCCTTACAAAGCTCATCCAAATTAGGCCAAATTTGATTCTAGATTGTAGTGCACGTCATAAGCCTCCACGTAAGCATGTGTATATTGCTTTTACATTTTCCAGTCACAACAATGTGAGAAAGGCTGAACAAATTTTCTTAAGCGTGATTAGCACAATAAGCTGTGCAAGGAGTCCAAAACATATGCGTCCTCTTCAAAGTCAAAAGATGCCCAATTGCAGCAAAATTGGCACCATTGTCAGCGACAATTTGTACCACATGTTTCTCTCCAACAAATTTTACAATCCCATCGATCAAGTCACATAAGTATGTAGCATCATGTGACTTGTCTGATGCATCAACAGACTTAACAAAAAAAAGTACATCTTGGACACTTAACCAAGAAATTAATAAAGGTCATTCACTTCCCATCGGACCATCCATCACACATAATAGTTGCCTCATACTTCTCCCACCCTTCTCTTTGAGAAATCAAAATTTTGTTAACATCGGATACAACATCCTTCAATAAGGGCTCTCTATTGTCATGTATAGTAGGAGGATTAAGTCATGGGCCAAATTGCCGAATTGCGTGGACCATACATGCCTAACTGTCGAGAGTTATAGTATTAAAAGGGCTGCTCGCCATGTAAAACCACTTTGCAATGTACTCACCACCTTCTTCTTCTCCTCTTTTTTGTATCGATTTTCAATTGTGGATTGTTTTTTTTTTCCTCCTCTCCTGAACTGCAATTTCGAGGTCAAGGGTGCAAAAAGTGCCCATTGGCCGCTTAGAGAGGTGTTTTTTTCCAACACTAACACCAATATTTATAACTCTCTCACTTGACATTGGAGTACCCCTTTGTCTCATTCCAACTTCTGACATATCCTCATCATCTTCTTCATCATCAAATAATTGAATTTCATTTCTTTTTTTCATTTTGTTTTCAAGCTATCCATCTATTATCTAATCTCCTTTTTGATATCTTCGGTAGCTTGTAAGCATGCTCTTACATTCCTAGAAATACCGGCTAAGTGTTCTTTTTGCCAAAAAATACCCCCCATGTAAGTATTTCCACAAAGCATACAAATAACACAATTTCGGTCTATCGGAGTTTTTAGTTTAGCATATTTCCATATTGGATCCTTGTTACTAGAAGATTGTGAAGAAGTCATTGCCCCAAAGAAAAAGTATTAGCGTAGTAGGAAAAAAAAACCTTACCGATTACTTGAATAAAATATCGATTTCTTCTCAGCCCTTGAAACCCTCGATTTGTTGCCAAAACTTCACTAAACCTCTACTAAAAATTCCTCAAATCAACAACCAAAGATCAACTAAAAGAAAATCTAAGAATTAAAAATAAAAAATAAAAAAAAAATCACCACTTTTTTTTATCGATTTGATACAGTAAAGGCCACAGATGTGGTTATTTTTGGTAGTTTGAGGGGTTTAATACTCCCCCAAACACTTTCCCCCCTTTCTCGGGGCTTAAAACGATGAAAATAGCCCTTTTCGAGGGGCCCATTTTTCAGATCACTCGTTGGCTGCATATATGTGCCCTATGCGGGCTATGCGCTAAGCAGCTGCATATGTGGTGGGATGCGACGCACATGCGGGATCAAGCGATGCGGTTGCCAGTGCATCCCGCATTAAATGCCCACATATGCTGCAACGCGGCCGCATTTTAAAAAAGAAATCCATGATGGATATCACTTTTACAGAATGCTTCAACTATATTTGATGATTGATACAAAAAGTAACAGGGCTACTTCTGTAACCTCAAAGAAGTAAGTTAGGTTTAATTCGCATAGGATATACACAAACACATTCCTCACATAAAAAAGAGGACAGAAAAAAAAATGCCAATGCAATCTTAAGTTTTTTATTTATGTGTGTAGCCAATGAATACAACTTGTAAGCAACAAAGGGCAAAGTTTGAGAGATTATTCACAACTGAACCCGCTTTTGTTAACAACAGATAAAAGGATAAGACAATATTTGTATTCCAGCTATGTCCTAGTCCTACCAACAATTGTTACAACATCAATTAACCTAAATAGAAATTTGACACTCTATTTGTAAGTGATAAACATAATGCTGGGAAACCGTGCTAAAAAGGAATTGAACCATCCTCAAATGCACATACCTCCTCTCAGATGTCATCCCAAAGTTGGCTTTCTGATAGTATAACAGGCAAATAAGCTATAAAAGATTCTCAATTTAGGAGTTAACAGTCATCTGTACCAGGTACCGAACCCAACTTCCAACTTCCACCATGCTTCAAACCTTTGAAAAGTGAACATCATTATAAAGCCACAATCCAATGCTATCATGCAACTGTAGTACTACTCAAAAGTTCAACAGTCTCTGTTCCAAGACTCGAGAAAAATGTTCATTGGCAAAGTTTGTGTCTTCCCAATCTTAATTTGCCACCCATGAATAATTAAAAAACAAAAGAAAATTGATTGCCGCCTCATGACTGAAGACTGATGAATTAATAGTCATGTTTCCCACTTCAGCTATCAGAGTCAACAGAGCTTCACATTCGAAGTCCAATAAGGACCCCAACAATATTGAAACATGAGAACAAGATTTTCTGTGTGTCGCAAACTCTTTTAACTCAATGCTACACATCATCAACACCTGAAACACCTGTAAATTTTGAGAACCGGCATTTCAAATCCAATCCCATTTCTCTGAATCCAGCATGAGAGAGATCCTTCACCACTTTTATGAAAACTGGGAAGTTGGGTTTAAGCCCCTTGTCAATCATTTCCACTAGAATAGCATGTGCTTCAACTATCTTTCCTGATTTTCGAAGAAGACTACTAAGCAAACTATAATTCATGTTGGCTGAGCAATTATCCTTCTCACTCATTTCAAGCACAAATTTGTGAGCATTTTGGACCTCCCCAACAAAGAAGTAACCTTTGATGAAAGCCGCATAAGTAGTAAACCGAGGCTTGAGTCCCTCTAAAATCATTTTATTAAGAAACTCAAGAGCCGAATCCATTTTACCCATTCGACAAGCATGATAAGCCATGACTTCAAAAGTTATTTCATCGGGATAACAACCCAAATCCTCCATAGCCTCAAGCAACTGGCAAGCTTCAGCAACCCTTCCCTTCTTACAGAGACTGCCCAGCAAGTAATTAAAGGAACCGGTATTTATGCCATAGTGAAGTCCCTTCATTTCATCTAGAGCAACTTTTGCTTCTTCAAATTCTCCATTTCTGCATTTCGCAGCAATCAACACATTGTAATAAGAGGTCTTTTTCCCCATTTCTTCCATGACAAGAATAGCCAGTTCGAAGCAATTCAAATCACAGAGCGAAGAGATCAGATAGTATACACCAGACTTTAGGCAAGGTCCCCCAACTCTTCGAATTATACTAAGAATCTCCTTAACTGAATTTTGAATTGAAGGGCTACGAGAGAGAAAAGAAAAGGCAGTTACAGTCAGGCAATGCCCTTTGGAAGATAGCCCCTCCATGAGCAAAAGCATGAGTTCAAAGTTTTCTAGCAAGCCTGAAATACTAATAGCCAGATTGTAATTTGTGGAATTCGGGTTAAAACCTGGGCGAGTTTTTGCCCAATTGAAAAACATCAGCGCTCCACGGTTTGGTGTGGAGCGTAGAATATCAGTAACCACCTTGTTTGATAGTTTAAGGTTCATATGATTCAGTTTCTCTTCCATGACTCCAACCTCCACACATTTGACCAACTCCATGAGTTGTGTATAGTAATGTTCAGTGCTTCTTCTTTCATGGCCACTGTAAGAATTTCGGTTTTCAGGGAGATGGGTTCTTCCATGAACTCTGTAAAAAATTGGGTTGTTTGTGATATGGGTTTGTTTATTCTGCGGTGAAGAAGAATTTGGGCTTTTTGGAATATGGGTACTTCTTCTCTGATAAGAAGAGGAAGAAACTGGGTTTTGGGGGAGATGGTTTCTTTTGTTCCGAGAAGAACACAATGACCTTGAATCCAGCCACTGAAAGTGAACTGAAATGATCGTTTGAGTAGATGGGTATGAAGGTGAACTGTATACTAGGAAGAGCTTTGATGGTGGGCTGAAGTTGAAAAAATGGTGGTATACTCTGAAGAGAGGGAAAGTTGCAGAGAGCTTTCGCACCAATTGTTGTTTGCACATTGATGATAACAAAAAGTCCAATCCAATCCCATTTCAAGCACCCATCTCTCTCTCAAAGTTCCCCTGTTTATCAAGGATCGGCTTAGGTCCAACCGTGGTTTCTCCCTTTCTTCGGTAGAGAATCCCAAAAGCTCAACCTTCCATTAAAAGGGAAACATAGAGCAACTCATTCCATGTATCAGGAACTCCAGGCAAGCACCAATAACTACAATCTTGAGATTTCTCCACCGCTAAAAATTCTTCAGGGGATTTGAATTGCTTTCAGTAAACTGAGGGGTGTGCATCTTTTCTGTAATCTGTCATTCTACTGACATTGTGATAAGTTACAGGAGTCCTCATCTTGTGAAGAACTGATTCTAAGACAATCTCTCTCCCCCTCTCAGCCGCCAATTTTGAGCCTCGCAAAAAGGTCGTGAACAAAGAAGGCGTTACCCTGGTTTGCAGCTTCAGCTACAGGTTGTGTACAGGGTCGAGGCATTCTTCTGGTGAGATCTCAGAGCATGGCGCGTTCGCCAAATGAGTGATGGGTTGCTCCATCTGCTGAGCCCTTGGCTATGGGCTTCGATTCCGTACCTTTAAATCCATGAAATTAGAGAGAGAGAGAAATGGGAAGCACTGGTTGCCAAGTTCGGGATGACGTCAAGGGGAAGAGAGAGACGAGGGTTTATGTGAATTGAAATAAAATTTAGGGTCTAATTATAAAATTTTAAACTCAAAAAATCCATCAAAAATTTATCGTTATAAAAATATTAAAAATAAGCGGTCCAAATAATATGTTGTAAGATGTTTTTGAGACTTCAAAAAAAAAAAAAAAAATTCATACTCATGCACCTCAACGTGGAGATGATCAATCAAAAGGGTTTTCCAGCTCTAAAGTAGTGTGGAATTTTTAAATGTACCTTAATTCTACATTTTTATAGCATTATGTTTATGGTGTTGATTTGTTGTGTTGTAAGCTCAAATTGCGTGATGATTTTATGCTACTCATTTACTTTGACATTCAATTAGTATAAATATTTTTTGGGTAATTTTAATTAATATTAATGTTAAGTGAATTACTAGAATATGTCGCTTTCTATTGTGACACTATATTGTGTTACTCACACAATTTGTATTATTGTTTTAAAGAAGTATTAATCTTAACTTTGCTTCAAACATTGCAAAGCATCATTTTTGTGGTGCCATTATGTTGTGCTACCTACTCGACTTATAAGATTCATTTTAAAGAAATCAACAAGAATGTAAACTTTAGTTAAAGTAGACATATTGTTTCATTATAGAGTTTAAAGGGACATGTTTATTAGATTGCTTAAATATATAAACTTGAAGTTCTTTATTAAGATCTTGCTAGATTATGTTATAGGTTTGTTTTAATTAATCTTGTAGTAGTGCAATGTGTTATTTTTATGTTGGCACTATGTTATGCTATATGTTTAACTTGTGTCAAATTTATTTCAAAGAAGTGAACATGAATGTAGAATTTATTTAAAATGAATATATTGTTTCATAATATATTTGAAACGGGCATGTGCATTACAAACTAATGGGCTTTAATGATTTAATTGCATAGAAGAAAAAAATATAAGTTTTTCATTGTGGTGTTGCTAGACTATATTGTAGGTTTATATGTACTTAATGTTATATTTTTTAAGTCCACTAGATTTATTACTCAATTTTTAAGAGTTTGATCTAAATAAAATTTATAATTTATTATAACTTTTATAACTTGTAAAAGTAATTGAAATAGTTGCAAGTTATTAGTTATAAGTTATAAATATGTACTTGTATATGCATAGATTACATATATGTATAAATTATAATTTACGACTTATAAATGACACGCGCGCATACAACACACACACACA